AGCTGCCTCTTCCGAAGGTACTCGCCGTTTGTAAACAGAAGAGATGGTTTATGGGTGGGCCCCGTGTGCCTTTACTGTAGACGCTCACAAAGAAAGAAAAGGGCGGGCGTGTGCGAGAGGGGTCGCCGCTTGTGCCGTCCAAACTCAACAAAAGCTCTCGAGTCCGTCGTTTTTACGTCGCATTTCACAAGAACTAAGAACCCGTATTTTAATACATTTTAATCACCAAAATTCAGTGACGCCACAATATTAATGATATTTTCTTAAAGGATATTGCCAGTGAATAGTGTATTATAAGTATGTGTCCAAAACGTAGACCTTTTTCGATCTGTTCAAACATGTATACATTGTCAACTCTCAGTGATTTTACTTTCTCGACTTACGTCGTAAGAAGATAAAGTTTTCTTGTGCACCGGCAATCGGCGACTTTTCGACACACTTTCGTGCCTGGTTCTGGAAAATAAAATATGATAAATCTGCTTCCTATTTTAATTGCCTACTTTCAAGCAGCAGGTTTTCTAAAGCTTATCATTTTATCAAGAAGTTGTAGCTTCCAAGGTGAGAGATACAGAGTTTCGTTTGACCTGGTTTTATTTCACCTATGAAGACTCAACTTTACAAAAGTCCTTTTGAGTCGTGTAGGACTCGGCCTACAAAAATTCATCAAAATTTAATGTGATTTCGCGGGAAACGTCTCCACAATTATACCACTTGATATGTAATGCTCCTATTTTAAATGCGTTGCCTGTCTCGTGACAAAGTTTCCATAACGTTCGCAGCAACCCCCGTGGATAGAACGTGTTGCGGAGTGTCCTTTTTGTGTGTGCAGACGAAGGCGCCCGCGCAGCCGCTCGGAGCCTGGCCGCCATGGAGGCTCCCCCGGAGGAGGCCTTCCGGGGCTACGGAAGCTTCGGAGCCTTCCGCCGAGGGGATGCCCGCGAAGCCAGTCGGGCCCGCGGCAAGTGCTGCTCCTGGCGGAGCCTCGTCGCCGCCATTCTGGGTGAGTGCCCCGGCCCCCGGGAGATGTGCAATATGTACACTTTTTTTAGCTCTGGGATGTCTGTCCTAAAGCATATACGTATTAAGTTTATTTATAAATTCAGGTAGCAACGACAGCTTTTGGTAAGAAGTGACACAAAAATATTTGTAATAAAAACTCTTTGCGAAGGCAAATCAGCTACAGATTTAGGCTATTATACATCATGCTTAACGTGAAGGAATCGACTGACTGCCGCAATAAATTGGAAAACAGTCATTCGAATGTCCACATTACCGAAAGAGTTTAAACAAACGTGAACAGTTAGTGAAGCTACATTTATGTCCAGAAGCAACATCTCGGTCGACATTGTGGTGGTATGGGAGTCGTACCTCTTCGTTCCAAACGGAACATTTAATACAAGTTGTAAAATTTTCAACATAATTTTCCTAAAATAACTATAATACTCGCATTAGGCATATAACCTGTTCCCGAACCTGCACAAAATGTCTAAAGTAGAAAACTTCAAATACAAGAACAAATACAATATGCTTCTCACGATCGAGGCAGATTGCGGAAGAAGTAGTAGAGGAGAAAAAGTCTAAGGCGTTCGGGTATGTGCGCGAAAGAGCATCCTTGTGATTTTTTCCCACAGCTGCTTGCGGGGCTCTCTTCGCATCGTTCCTGGACTGCTGGTCTCTGCAAGCTCTGAGGGCACTGGACCAACCAACCACCTCTGGCCGCAGCGGTCTCGTCAACGCGGCTTCCAACGGTCTTCAACTAGGCAATGACTTCAATGGCTCTGCCACCAACATCTCTGGCAAAAATTATTCTGGCTACAATGACACTGCCTTTAACCGCTCTGCCGAAAATATGATTCACTTCATTGGTCGTGGTTTCGGAGATGTTGCTTTCAAAGGTCTCAACCTCAACAGTTCTGCAATCAGTAGTCCTGTTTCCGATAGTCCTGCCTTCAACGAACTTGCTTTAAACAACTCTGCCAACAACAACATTCCCGTTAAAGACCCTGTGTTCAATCATCCTTCCTTCAATAATCCTGCCTTAAATACACCTACTTTCTACGGCAAAATCTCGAAAGGCACTGACTTTAATGCTTCTTCTTTCAACAACGCTGACTTGAACGGACGTGCTTTCGGCGACTGGGCATTGAACGACCCTGCCCAAAACGGCTCTGACTTAAACGACCGTGCTAAGAACGGTTCTGCCATAAACGGCACTAACTTGGACAGCCGTGCCGAGCATTTTTCCTTAAATGACCGTACAGACAGGAGCTCTGCCTTGAACGACCGTGCCGGCAACGATTCTACGTTAAATGCCTCTGATTTAACTGAATGTGGCAACAACTGTTCTGTCTTAAATGATTCTACTTTAAACGATCGTGGTGAACATGTTCTTGCCCCAAACCTTAGTGACACTGATCCTGCCTTAAATGATTCTTATTTGAACGACCGTGAGGACAACGGCTCTGCCAAAAGTAGTCCCTCCGTGAGTGACTGTGGGGTCACCAGACCTGCCTCGACCACCCGTGGTGACAATGGCCATGTCTTCTATGGTCCAGCTGGTCCTGCCTTGCACAGCCATACCGGCAACCACCCCTTCTTCAACGTGGGCGGCGCCACCGGCACCTCCAAGAGCAGCACCACCCACGCTGGCGCACTCGACGGTTTCTGGTCCTTTCAACCCACTCTCCTGCACGGAATGGTGAGTACATTTCGCTTCAGAATGGAATAGTTCTACGTCATGAGGTTTTTAATTTAACATTAAAACATTGACTAGAACAACTGATTAAATCGGCAATGTCCAAAAGTAAATTCTTAAAGGGAGTCCCATATTTATGACTCTCTCATCAAAAATTTGTATATGATGTCTTACTGACTTCAGTTTTTCAAATACAGGACAAAACTTTTTGAGTTGGTAACACTGTGTAGTCTGAGTGAGGGTAACAACCACGAGCTGAGGAACCGTTAGTGTATGGCATCCAGCACGACGGATCGGTTGCTTTTGGAGCAGCATGTGTGTTTGAATTTCGCAACAAAGATATAAGGTGAAATGTCAGCTGGAAGTTGAATTTGGAAGTAACGACCTCTCTGTACTAATGATTCCAGAAATAAACATAAAAAACAGACTTCGGTGGTAGCGTTGTGCAAGCTAAGGAAGGCGGTAGGCCATGGAGTTCACGTAAATGTGATAACGCAACTCATGTGTTTAATGTCCTGCAGTTGTCTCTTGTGAAGATAAAATCACAAAGGTTAGGCCCAAAGAATTATGAAAGACATACAATTATAACCTTGCTATTCTTATTTTATTAATATGTTTCACATCGATGATCCAGATGGGCACAGTTTCCAGACGTTTGGCGTAATAAAAATCCAAGATTAGAAGAACAGGTAATTCGGACAGATGATGCCCGATCTCATGGTTCGAAAAGTACAAAAGCGCAAACACAATTGCGTACACTGGCGGGAAGAAACCTCTAATGCAGTTATTAATATTCATAACAAATTTCTGATGTCTTGGTAGATGTGTGTTCCTTTCGATTGGTTGATTGCTCCATTCCTTTTCGATGATACTGTTATTGGAGAAATTTACATAAAACTGCTCAAAGAAACATTGTGCCCTTTATTATCTATGGCGGTGATCTCCTGCTGGATAGCGAGATCCCGCACCGACCTACTGTCGACTAACAGGGTTTCCCCAACCAAGTTCTCCCGCCAGCGGGGCAGCGCCCCAGCCGGGACAAGCTCGAAGCTCCCGACCGGTCTACCTGTATGTGTGGTAGTGTAGTGCATGTTAGTGTACGTGAGTGTAAGGGGTGAAGATTGGACAAGGACAAGAAAGAGGAAGGAAAGATTGCACGTGTTCCGTGGCCCGTTTGTAAGGGTACTGATACGGCATTCGACTGGTGTTGATCAGAGAAATCACGGAAAACTACCGATCAGAGCAAGCGGCCTCTGGAATTCTCCTATAGACAGCGACTGAATTCGACCAAGCTGACAAGCTAATGTCGAAAACCTTGCCACAGTCGGGACTCGAACCTAGGTCCTCTCGGTCAAAGGCACCAAAGTGACATCATTTGATGCACTGAGCTGTATTTGAACCTATACATTGCTCTCAGAAGACACAAAATGCTGTAAAGAAATCATGATAATGGTTGACAGTGAATTAGAAATGCAACATGCAGATGCGCGATAACACACGCGTGCCGAGACGACTTGCAATGACATCCTTTTTCAGGTCTGCTGGTCCAGTGATCTCCGGCGATAATCACATAGATGCAGTTAGGTTAGTGACTCGTACGAACCTTCACGGTTTATAAACACAGACTTTGAAGAATAGTGTGAAAATATTATAACATAGTTATTGGTGTAATTGATTGGAAACAAATTTGTAGCACACATATACTACATTGCATATGTAAATATATATAAGAAATACTCTACATGTGCACTTTATAAGTTTGTTATGTATTAACATGCAACGTTTATGAGTTCGAACAGTCATTGTAAGGCATTGTGCAATGCAGTTATGAAATTTTGTTATAGTCAATTGTAACTAATTCAGTTTCACGTAGAGCGTACTGAATGGATAAAGAATAGCATTTATCATGTCTTGCACACACGCACAAAGCATAGTGGCACAAATAACAAAAATAGAACACAGTTACGGTCAAGTGCGAGACGTTGAGACATGGGTGCGTCTCCAAGTGGTGCTGGCGTAGGACTGAATTTGTTTTGTCGCGTCATCCCGACGCGACTTTGCGATAGAATGACGTTCAACCAATCAGAGTTGATCTTAATAGATTGCAATTAAAGATTTTAGGCTGTGCTTAGGTTGTAATTTGTATGATTATGCAGCAAACTGAAAGTTATACATTTTAATAAGTGTTACGAGGCTAACATAGCAAGTTATCTGTAAGGCGTAATAATTTTCCGTGAAGGCCACGCCGCCAACCGGGCAGTTGACTGTTCCGCGTGGGTTGGTTCTAAGAATTTTGGAAGCTGCCTGTCTACTGCTCAACGTGAGGTGTGGACATATAGAATACAGAATGCCGTACAATAGAATTAGCATTACTTGTACGATACTTAATTACTGTCCTATGGCAAGGTGTGCATATTAGATTATGCGTAATATGTGTGTTTAAAATAATGTATTGAGTTAAAGCTTGTTCTAACAGAAGTGTTGATTGGAGAGTTAGTAATTCACGAACATAGTTGTGTTGCAAATCATCTTAAAGAAAATTCCATCAAAAAATGCCGAGAATACGTACAGACAAACAAATATTCAAGAGAAATACCTTGGTCACACAGATTCTAAAGAAAAAAATCAAAGAAACGCAACTTGGTCGAAGATGTAAAACAAGTTCAGGACAGAAATAACTTTCTCTCACCCAAACACGCCACAAGATAACCAATAATACAAATTAGTAACTCAGGCACAACAAAATATTGGTCTAGCTATTACAGTCGCTATCTCGCATTGAAAAGCCGACGTTTTCTATACAGCAATAGTATGCGTAGATGTCTCTGCGGAAACTCAGCGCCTCCTTTCTTTCTCCCTTCTCGTGTGTCTTGTTGGTACTTTAACGGAGACGTCTGGAGCACGGATATCTCGTGCGCACTCGCCGGGTGCGGCTGAGCGCGGTTGGGGCGGTTGGGGGGGGGGGAGCGAGTGGGCGTGCTGTGGTTGCAAGATGCGGTGGGCTCGGCGCTGGCTGCCTGGGCCTTCGGACGAGGCGCGACCGCCTGGGCGCCGCTTCGCGCTTGCTCGCCTGCGGGCTGGTCGGCGCGCTGGCCTGGCTGCTGCTGCTCTGCGAGCGCTCCTCCGTGAGTCCACGCGCGATCTTGACTGGGCTCACGGCGCTCAGTCACCATTCAACTCTTATCTTTAATTTCCACTGTTCACCAGACACCCTTTCGTTCAGACGTAAATTTTAATCCGTCACCCATCACTAGGGTGGCCGATTTTAATGAAATGTCATTTTGTCTTTTTACTTTAGAACAGGGATTTTTAGTACAGACGTTAATTTTATGTTATGACAAAAGGAAATGAAACATTTTTATGAGATTTCTTTGCAGTGTATATTGTGTCGATTGCGACTAATAAGTCTTTTTTTACAATATTTTCGTAATTTTTAAAACGTTTTCGCGTTTGTTTTTTTTTCGTTTTCACATCATTTTAATGGTTCTTGCTTCAAATAGTATTTACGAGATGCAACAATTTCTTCACAGAATTCCTGGGTAGCCTATTTGATTTCTTTACTCAGAATTTACAGACATTACTCTGAAATGTAAGCCGTTGTAAGTATGTGATCTAATGTTCCTGTTAGCCAAATTTGGAACTATAAATGCTTACTCCCAAGTCAGTAAATAATGATTTGCCTTTTAACTTTCCCGTATCCGTAGGTGTATACGTAGTAATTTATGTAGTATAGGGAAAGTTATGTAATGCTGTGGAAAATCGATTTCGAAGTTTCAACGGAAATACAAATTTTGGTGTCCCCTAATATCGAAAAAGTTGATTTTTTCAAAACGTCCGTCTGTCCGTTCATCTGTCGGTCCGTCTGGTGTCTGTGAACACTACTAAAAAAAAAATACTAGCGCCTAAACCATGCGTAATTTTTTTCCAAATTGAAGAAACCCGCGTCGAACTGGCTCGAGTCGAATCTTTTAGATTTTGAAAAAAGCGTTAAAATTTGGAAGTACTTTACATGAAGCCCTCCGGACATTTTCAATATTTTCTCATAAACGACTCCAATTTTTTTCTTTAAATTTCTTGCATATGTGGCATTGGTCAGATTTTCAGGTTTAACTCTAAATTTTCAAAAATGTCAACCTTTCGCAGGCCCGATTGTTAGGTTTAACTATGAATTTTCGAAAACTTCTGAATTTCAACATTTTTCGGGCGTCTCCTTACAACTACAAAATTGAAGATATGTTTCCTTCAAATACAATTTGTTCTCCATAGTTCTTTCATTAAGGTCATGTACATTTTTTTAAATGTTAGTATTTTTCGCAGCACTACGTGCAGTTTAAAAAAAATACAAAAACCAGATATTCTCAAAAACGGTTCCAAAGTCTCTCTTTTAACTTTTGGTAGAGATTGTGCTAAATGCCTTCTATAAGATGACATAAAAGCCAGATTATTTTATTCTTCTGTTTTTTCAAAAATTACAAAAATGTATTTCTTTTTACTCGTCTCTTACGCCGTTAATATTTACATTAGCGACAATTTCTTTACATGTATGTATTTATGAGTACATGTGCTTCAAATAATGTGAGATAACGTTTCGCTAAAACACAACTTTTCCGTGAAAATAAGCTCAAAATTCCGCAGTTTCAGAAACACTCAAACACCATTTTCTCAAAAAAGGCTCCAAATTTTTTCTTCGCACTTTTCGAACAGATATTGCTAAATGCACTGTTAAAGATGACAGAATTAATTTTTCTGTATTAATCTGTTTTTTCAAAAATTATAGAAATTATTTTTTGGAAGATATTTCACGCCTTTAATATGCACTTTTTCAGTAATTTGTATATTCGATTACATTTGTGACTGGAAGTGCTTGAAATGACGTGCTGTGAAGTTTTTTGAAAACTCAATAGTTTTCTGTGAAAGGGTCAAATTTTGAATTCACAGTAGCGCTTAAATGCAATTTTCTTAAAAACGGCTCCAAATTTTTCAAAGAAAATTGCCATTTGGGATGATGTATTACCGTTCATTAATATTTTTAAAGTAATAATTCGATTCTACAGCTAGAAAGCCGAACAATTAAGAAAATTTCAAAAAATTTACTTTGGGTGGCGATAGATGGCAGCTGGCAAGCGTATGTGGCAAGACCAAATAGCTTGCTGAGACAAATGGAAATAGAAAACTAATACGGGAAAGTCTGTGCCATTCTATTGAACCACTAGTGGATTTTATAGCCACTCTATACTCATACCGTAGTTGATTTTATACTCTAACCTCAATTCTTCCATAATTAGCAAAAAGGGAGCTTAATGAAATGTGTGCAGTAAATGATCATCCAGTGAAACATGATAAACGTCTTATTATTTTAGTGATTGTCAACTATCTCTAATTAGACACTACCTTTGTTGTTGAGTAAGGTCCGTTATCTCACAAATGGGAGAAAATGGGTGTAGGGAGAAAAGTAATAACAAAATAATTTGTGATAAATCTTTAACGATAAAGAGGGCTGGGACCGCCATTTCTGTACTTAACATTTAGCATCAATGTTAAAAATATATTTGCCAAATTTTGGCTATTTAACATAGTAATATAATCGTTCATTCAGGTGTTGATTGCTTATCTTCGGGTACGATCGTGAATTTGTATGGCAAGAGTTGCACTTTCAGTTACGAATTTCGGTGTTGTAGATCAAGTCCAAGTTTATGGAACATTATGTGAAAGAGTATACAGATAAGGGAAACAAGTGTGACACCAGCCGGAAGGAAGGGGTTTTGTGTAGAAATTTAGCATGTTAATGTATCTGCCTGTATCACAAAACTGATTGGCGATCATAAGCTACAACCCATTGGTTTCGATTGTTCTTAACGGACTGAGAAATATTAAATTCCTTAACGGCCGCCGGTAGTTAAGAGTGATTGTTCGTTCCTCTGGTTGCGTTAAGTCAATATAACAATATAGTATGACGAAAACTGTTAATTAGTGGATACGTGGTCTTGTCTTTCATTTTTCTGTGTACGTTCTGCGCCTGTCATTCCTCTTTTTTGTGTTAAGTCGATATAACAGGACAGTATTTCGAAACCAGTTACGTATACGTGGGTTTGTCTTTCATTTCCCTGTGTATGTTCTGTGCCTGCCTATGTACTTCTGTGCTGAGGCTGATATGGGCTCCGCGTGCGCAGGTGCAGTGGGTGTGTGCGTCGCGCATCCTCGTCGGTGTCCAGATGGGCGCCATCTTTACCGTCTTCCCGGTCTACGTGGCAGAGATCGCCCACGTAAGTCTTTGCCCGGCCGCAGCAGCTAACGGCCCGCCTGAAGCAGCAAAGTCTCTTCCACTTTCTCCTTTGCATTCTGACCACCGCCAATCCCTGCTGCTGTGACTTCTGACTGCTGACTTAGGGTAGGGTAGCGTAGCAGCCAGGGCGCTAGCTTTCAACCTCTGAGTACTGGACGTTCAAGACCCGGTCAATTCCATGCACAGTATATGGTGAGCAATGTGGGTCCCTGCAGGTTTCCTTAGTAGATTTCCGTTCCTCCCTTCGACCCATGTCCCTCGGGCTCCACCTCTTACCCCTTCGTCCCTGCCCCTTCGGCCCCTTTGCTAGCTCAAAGCCTATACACGTCTCCCATCATCCCTCATCCTTTACCCCTCACCTCACGTCCATTTGCCCTCCTTTTCCCCCTGTGGGTGATATCTGCAATGCCTGGTTGCAGCCGCGCGAGTGGCTGCGGGGTTAGAGCCACAGCCCACGCTGGCTCTGCAATAGCTTCTTCCCCGTCCTCCCCTTAGTGTCACGCCTCTTATCGCCATACCACCGCGCCCCGCGCAGCGAGGGCTCCCAAAGCGTGACGCGTGCAATGCCTGGTTGCAACCGTGTGCGCGAGACTAGTCGCGCTCAATGCTGTGCGTGGCTGTGAGCGAGGCTAGTGCCGCTACCCGCGCTGGACCTGCAATGTCTCCCAACCCCCTCCCCATCCCTCGCCCGCTTCGCCCCGTACCACCGCGCCCCGCGCAGCGAGGGCTCCCAAAGCGTGACACGTGCAACGCCTGGTTGCAGCCGTACTCGCGTGGGCTGGCCAGCTCGATGCTGTGCGTGGCTGTGGCGCTGGGGCGGCTGCTGTGGACGGCGTGCGGCCACCAGGGGCTGTGGTGGGCGGGGCTGGTGCCGCTGCCCGTGCTGGCCGTGCAATGGCTGCTGCGCCGCTACATGCCCGAGACGCCGGACTTCCTGGAGAACGTGGGTCGCCCCAGCGAAGCCGTTGACGTGCGCAGGTACTCGTCTCCTTCTTCTTACTTTCTTGTACTCCGGCACTGTTGATCTTTATATATTTTACTTTCTCGCTATTGCTTACACAGCAAGAATTTCTCCAAAATTAATATTTCAAATCGATTTCAGATGTCGCGGTCCCTTGAACTTGAAACCGATATTCTAATTGGGGGAAAGGGGAACTTAACATGAAGCTCCTGTAACATTTTTTTAAAATTTTCAAAAGAAATGGGTTCAAATTTTTCTATTAAATATTTTTATCGGATAGCGTAAAGACCACTTAAGAGAATGGTGCTAATCTAATTTTCGTTAAAATCGCTGATTTTTCAATAATTTTAAAAAATTAAAAATTTCTTCGGTGGTTTCCTACAACAATTATGAAGATGATCAGATTTTTTAATGAAATGTCTTCATGAGAAACATCATCAAATAAGGTCATGTTCAATTTTTCGATATGAGCATTTTTTGCGTAAATTTGCTTTAAACCTAGGCAATTTTTAAATTTTACAGAATTATTTTCTCACAAACGGCTCAAATTTGTTTCTTAATTTTTTTGCGTATGTAGCAAAGAATGGTAAAGAAAGTCGTGCTGGTCTTGTATCGACGCACTATCTGTATTTTTTAAAACTTGGAAAAAAAATGTGCCCCGCGTTTGCCCACAAGCTTTTACCTCCAGATATATTCGTGCAAGAACGTATCGTATCGGAAATGCGTTTCTGCAAATTGTTGCTTTAATATGAAGCAAATGAAAACTTTCAGTAATAGTCAACTTGTATAATCGTATAATATTTATATAAACGTGGCCCTAGACACGCAATTTTGCAGGGAAAACAAAGTGAATGTCCAAGGAAAGTGAATTCAAAGGCAGCTTCCTCGAAATGAAAAGTATCATAATTTTACCCCAAATGTGAGCATTACGAATATAGTCAAAGTTATGTTCATCTCATTGAAATTTCTATTTTCAGAGCAATCTTATTCAGCGTGCAACCAACTCTAAAATCAAGTTTCTCCTTCACTGACATCTTGATTGAGCATAGCACAAACGTTTTATTCATCTCAACTGAAGTTATCTCCGTAATTTCACTCAAACAGAATAGTTTCAGCGATTTCATTTAGCTCACGCCAGGAAGGTACACCTCCTCGCCCATGAACGACCATAATACAATGCGGCAATTATATAAGGAAAATTATTGTATTGTTGCCAAACAAAGAAAAATAAATAATACAAGTTTATTACGCGTAATATTTAACATGGTTATAACATGTTCAATAATAGCCAGTAAAATACAGACACACACACTGGCCATCACATTTCACCAGCTCGTGAAGCACACTGGCGATCACTGATAGAACAGTAGGAAGCGCTGCAACTGCTTCGTTGGAGGAAGAGGTGAAGGAGGGGTTGGCGGTGAGGTTGAAGTCACTGCCCATAGTTGTCTGGTCGTCATTGCTCTCTCTCGCCTGCCCAGAGATGACAAAGAAATGTGTCCTTTTGAGAGCAATTACATACGTAAATTATAGAAGTACATTTGTAAACTTTACACGATTCCTAGCTAAGCGGATGAGGCAGTGCAAACAACCGTGCAATGGTGTTAATTGATTCGCGAACAGATAAATTTACATCATAAGAAAATTAAACGAATTTATGACGAATGTAAGACGGGAGAGGTCCGATCTGACTCCCCTTGTAAACATTGTCTGGCTCCACAAGCGATTGACGCAACGCTGTCTGGCGCAGGCAGCTGCACGGCGCGCAATCGGAGAGCGCGCCGGGGACGTGGCGGATGGAGCGCCTCATGTCCCCGGAGCCGAGGACGAGGCGAGGCGAGGGCGAGGCCGAGGCCGGGGGCGCCCGCGGCGCCAACGCCGCCAAGGGCCGCGCCGCGCGCGCGCCGCGCGACTACGTGGAGCTGGTGCGGCTGAAGCGCCGCCTGCAGGCCGCCGCGCGCCGCCGCCAGCAGCAGAGCCGCCGCCGCGCCATCGCCGTCTCCGCCGGCCTCTTCGTGCTCGCGCCCCTCGCCGCCACAGACGTGCTGCGCTTCTACGTGGTGAGCCTGCGCCCCCCTCCCCCTCCCGCCCGGAACTCCACAACTCTAGGCGACTCGAGCTCCGCCGGGGGTCGTCTGTAGTCTGCTGTAGTCTTTCCAATCTATAATGGATGAATGTCGGAGCAGTATCCTAACAGACGGGTCATGGACCGGTCGTGATCTTTCCATCGTCATCCTTATCCCCTCCTCTCCCCTTACATGCACATTTATACTTACACGCACAGCACTACCACACATGTGGGGATCCTAGAGCTTGATCCGACTGGAGCAGTGCCACGTTGAGCAGAGGCCTAGAGATGAAACATGCAAGACCAGCGGTATAGGTCGACACCGGATCTCATGTTCTAACACGTGAGAGGAACTCCGCCATCTTTAGGAGTTGGGTACGATCGACGTCAATAAACAGACCCCTAAAGGAGGTTTGTGTTGTGGAGTTAATCTGATTTCATCTCTTTTGTCAAAGAACAATAAAAACAATATAACTTATGGGGAAGAAGTACTATCTACGCACGCTTTCGTGAGCTCTAGATACTCTTCCCCGCCTTATAACCATAAATAGTTGAACCACGAATAAACGTTCCAACAAAGCGAGGTTAGCAACGTTTCGAATCTTGACATCTGTCCTCCCGAGTTATATTTTATTTCATTTCATTTATTTACGTGAAAAACAGTAAAAACTGTGTGTGACGTGCTATGGGAAGAAGTTAATTTGAAGTTACCTTCATTTCCAGAAGCAAAACAAGGGGCCATCTCATCATTTGCTCAAGGATCAAAGAAACTGGACGAAAACCTGATCGAGATGGGTTCATTGACCCACAAGCTGAAGTACAATACATGTTACAGATTCTTTAGAATTAATCAATCCAAATAGTAAACATTAAATGTCGTTAAAATTAATATTACTTTCCTTTTGGGTGCTCGGTATACTCTCTAATTGTATAGAAACAGTTGTGCAGCAGAAAATATTTTACTTGGGACTTAAACTTTTGTATCGACTTTGATCGTTTAATGTCATCTGGCAAGGTGTTGTAAAATAATGTACATGTGTTGCGTGTGGATTTTTGTGGTGAGCTGTTGATACAGTCACCTGATGAACATGATACTACGTCGAGTGTTGTAGTTATAGATATCAGCGTTTGCTGAAAATATATTCCCGCCCTTAAGTAAGTCATTTTTAACAAAACAACACTAATTCATATATAAAGGGACAAGGTAATGGTAAAATACCTAGATTAATAAAGAGAGATTTACAAGGATCACGTGAGTGGGATTTGCTTATTATTCGCACAACTTATTTTTGTAATCTAAAAGTCTGGTGGCTATAAGATGTATTTCCCTAGAATACTAACCCATATCTCAGGCGGGAATGAACATTCGCGAAATATACACAACGAGCAGTATGGAAGCAGAATTTGAAAGAATTCTGAAAGCGTAGCATAAAGAACTTAATTTAGTATTCAATTCATTTAAATGGATATTTATATATTTAAGGTTGACTGAATTGAAGAACCAAAAAATGTTATCTTAACATCACTCAATGGCACACCGTTCATTGTCAATGGAGTACAGAGCAGTTTATTTGAAATGGAAAACTGCATTGAAACAGTTTTATTTTCATTTTGTATTAATCTGCTATTATGAAACCAATTTAAAATGTATGATATTGTACTACGTACAATCTAAAAACGTCATTAACTTTACCTTAACATCACTCAATGACACATCGTTCATTTTCAATAGAGTACAGAGCAGTTTATTCGAAATGGAAAACTGCATTCAAACAGTTTTCTTTTTATTTACTATTAATGTGTTATTAAGGAACCAATTTGAAATATATGATATTGTAGTACTTACAATCTAAAAATATAAAAACCTAAAGATCTAAAAACCTTAAGAGCCATGAACCTAAAGACCCACGAACCTAAAGACCCACAAACCTAAAGACCCACAAACCTAAAGACCCACAAACCTAAAGACCCACAAACCTAAAGACTCACAAACCTAAAAACCCACAAACCTAAAAACCCACAAACCTAAAGACCCACAAACCTACAAACCCGAAAATCTGAAACTCTAAAAACTACATCTAAACTTCAATCAATATCTATTCCCTCTTTTCTATCTTTCTCTCACTCTTAATTTTTTTTAAAAAGGTTTTTAAATCCAAAAACATGCCATGAAATTTACCATCAACAATTTCACCAATTTATCATTTCAACAATTTGTGGTTTTTCGCAATTTAAAAACACTGAAAGGTGGTCATACAATTGTGGCTTCAGATTCCACAAGTTTAATATACATAGAGAAATATGTTTCAAGTCTTTGGGTCTGACAACTTTTTTGAGAGTCTGCGTAATTGTTGTGTTTTCTTCCTTTGAAAAGTAGGTCACTCATGCAAATTCTCTAGAACATATATTTTTCTTTGTATTCTTGAAGTGTCTAATGCAATGCGTGTTACTTCTGTTGTAGGAGGAGTATATACACAAGATTGGTGAATCTGAAATTAGCATGGCAGCTGTAATTGGAATAATGGAAGTCACTGCAATGCTATTGTCTGCTGGATTTGTTGATTGCATGGGTCGCCGTGCACTACTCTTTATCTCTACTTTAGGATTGGCAATAATTCATTCTGGATTATCAGTAATTGCTGGCCATGAGAGAAATTCTTCCCCATGGCTATTTATTTTCCTTTCAGGTTTATTTTTTGCATATGATATAGGCCTTGGTTCTGTACCATGGGTTGTTTTAAGTGACATGTTACCAGCAAATGGGAGAGCACATTTAAGTGGGATAATTGTCCTCCTCCATTCATCTGTAATTTCTGGTTTAATTTACCTCTTTCCCATTTTTCATTCAAATGTAGGAGATAAATGGACCTTCATAAGTTTGGTATTTATATCCTTGGCTAACAACGTTTACGTAGGTCACTTGCTCAAAGAAACAAAAAAGAGAACACTGGAAGAAATAGAGAAAGAGCTGGAAAAAGTTGAATCTTCAAGTGAAAGCTCAGAGGATTCAGAAATAGAGTGGTCATAAATGAGATCTCAATTTGAAAATGCTCAGGTGGGCGAAAAATTTGGCTTTGATGTTAGAGAAAAACTTGTTGAAAACATTAGAAAAGAACCAAAAACAAGGATGAATAAACAGTAAAAAATAATGGCATAAATTGCATCAATTGTTGTATGAGATGCATATAAGTATCAATCATTTTCATATGTGATCTATTAAGAATATTAATATTAATTAAATTATAATACCTTAATTCTACCTTTCACGAAAGGAAATTTTCAAAACTTTTGCATATTTTGAACTTATTTAAGAATTCATAAGAAAATATATTTCATCACTCTTGAAACACATTTGTTTCATATATTAAGAAGAAATATACCTAGATCTGCTTCGTAAGTTAACCCTTATTATTTATTCATTACATATTCACCAACTATTTATTCAACTTTTAATCTAATAATCCTGAACTTACACCATATTTCCAGATTCCTGAAAAGAATATTGTGTTAACCTGGAAGGTGTAATAACGTTTAGAAAATATCAACACATTTCGTAGATTGTGTTAATGATATTGATTCTTATGATTTCGTAACAGTAATTAAACACCATTTTGCAAAATCATTTCAAATCAAATATATTTAAAAACCTAGGTTGAACTATATAAGCCACCATCCATTGCAACATTTTTCCTATTTTTATTAGACTGAAATTTTAAATTCAGGCTGTAATGCAACTGACCAGTATTGCCCACAGAGAGTACCTGAAAACTTAAACATCTATGAGAGGATGTTTACTATATGAAAGAACATTAAAAGTAGGACTTATTATCAATAGATAAAAGAGGTTGAGATGTTGAGAAAGTGAAAGGGAGAAAGAAAGAAAGTGAGAGAGAGTGAAAGAGAGAGGTAGAGAGTGAAAGAGAGAGAGAGAGAGCGAAAGAGAGAGAGAGCGAAAGAGAGAGAGAGAGAGAGAGCAAAGAGAGAGAGCGAGCGAAAGAGAGAGAGAGAGAGTGAAAGAGAGAGAGCGAAAGAGAGAGAGAGAGCGAAAGAGAAAGAGAGCGAAAGAGAGAGAGAGCAAAAGAGAAAGAGAGCGAAAGAGAAAGAGAGTGAAAGAGAGAAAGAAAGAAGGAAGGAAAAAGAGAAAGAAAGAAAGGAAAGAGAAAGAAAGAAGGAAAAGGAAAGAGAAAGAAAGAAAGAAGGAAAAAGAAATAAATAAAGAACAAAAACAACAACAATTTTTCAGTAAATAATTTCTTAGAGGATTAAGAGAAACCTAATTTACTGCAAGGAATGTATGTAAACTGTATATATAATTATGTCCATAAGAAAATGGTCATTAAAAGAAGTACTGTGAAATGTGATGATGTGGATTAAAATTTGACATTTTTTTAAAATTAGGAATTTCATGATTAAAGCAACCAGCAAATTAGTGTCTGCTGTTGTACACAAAATGTGTTAACTCCTAGAAGCAACTAAACATTATTATTTTATGATGTATGGTTTCAAACCAAAACTATGAAATTCTGATCTGTTTTACCCTTCTTTTTCAGATAAAGTTGATCACCCATACATTTTTACATAGAAACCACTTAACACCACTCCAGGGGAAATTGAGCTCTGAGTCTTTTAATAAAATGTCTTGAAAAATTCCTTTAATATTACAATTTTAATCAAAACTAATATTAAATTGCAAATTTATGAAAAATTATGACAACTGGAAACCAAAATCAAAACTTAATAATTTAATCAAATTACGTATTGCATTACTAATTATTCTATCAGGTTCAAATTAATGTCTGAAATAACATTTCTCTCTGAAATTATCTGCCCCTACCTTTCATTGACCTTAACACTACAAACAATATCTGCTTCAATGACACTTCCAGTATCAGCATCATGAATTGCTTGTCCATAACATTTGCCAAGTATTCACATTGAAGACTTTTTCCAGGTTTACTTTTCAATCATTTACCAGCTCTACAAGATTTTTCCTTGGCATGGGTTTCCTGAGTTTCCAGTAATGTTCTATTTGGAATTCTGTCCAATACTTTTACAATATTATCGGCATTTTAAATTTACTGCTTGACATAGTTTTCCCCACTTGACATTGAAATGGTTTGCCACTCTTCACTAAGCTTTTGTAGGGTAATGATACACTTTACGACTGAAATGGCAAACAAGTCATGTTAGGCATAATATTTTGAAGAAAACCTAATGCATTCTGCAGATATTATATTGCTTTACTGCAAATTTCCTAAAAAATGCATGTAACTGCCTAACTTTGGGCACTATAATATTTTATTTTAGTTGATCACATAAATCTTGAAAGGCAGTTTGAGAAAGTAATTATGATTGATAGTCGCTACTGCTATCCATGGAACTAGGAATACATAGCTGCGTGCTTCATAGCTCCATGCTTCCAACCGTCTTAAGTATAAATGCAGACAACCACAAATGAAGAGGTCACAGTCTTATAGCAACATCTAGACTTTTGTGTTTGTCTCTTTCATCACCTAGATGACAGTGTTTTAGCACAGCAATGTGTCTTTGATCCACTTTACCTCGTATGATCCACTTTACCCCATTTTATGGTGTCTCTAGAATTCAGAATTACCTAACTTCTTTCTGAAATCACAAAATGTGGTATCTCCTCCATTAACATGTTCATTTTGTTTACATTTATCATCATGGCCAGCAAACTGTTAATGAACCGACTGTCTGCTATGGGCAGTTAGATGTACTGATTTTTAAATGATATAAATTTATTTAGATAATTTTATTTATTTTCAAATTTGTTAACTTCATTTAAAATGTTCATTTAAAGGTAGAACCTATATGAATTTTAAAAGTTAACAATATTATGGTGCTGCACTACAGTAAAACATTTTTCGTGAGCTTTTTTCATTATTTGGTAACAAGAGAGAATGCACAACACTTGGATTATATCTGCTAGTATGTAATATTTTGATATAATTAATAAGTAAACTACATGGTTTCTTAAATAATTCTACATTCCTAACTGTCACAAATACAATAATTTGTACATTTTCATAAATCAGAAATCTAGCAATACAAATCAGCTCATTCAAGAATGTGTATCTGTAATTAATACAAATTGTATATCCTGCTGTACTAAAATTCACACTCAAATGTTTTGTATAATTTCTCAAATAAAATGAAATCACTGTTGTGACACCATTTATTAGTTGTTCTTCTATTTTTTTAAAATATCAAATTAAATATTTCATTTGAAACTGCAGAGACTGGAAAAAAACAAAAAAACTGCAAACTGAAAGAAGCCATGACACTCCCTGTTATATCGAACCCTGGCACTCCAATGGAGTCTCTCCTTGGACTGCATAGTGGGTGGGGGACCATGGTTGATGAACTGAAACTATCTAAATGGATTCCACGACACCCCTCGCCGTCCTCTTCCCAAAGGAGGAGGAGACATTTGGAAGACTGAGAAGAAAGGAACATGAATATTTAAACAGTTTCTTCTGTTAAAACTTGGAGAAGCCGTTTTAGCTTCCTTTTCTTCTTATGGGATGTACTGATAAGGACATCTGTTTAAAAGCGTCCGTTTTGTGCCTTTGGGAACCTTCAAGGGTTGAACGTCAGAGAAATGGTAGCATTCTCTTCGAAACCCGCACAGACAACCAAATTAAAACCTGCTGAATATAAAAGAGATTGCCGACCTTTAGGTAAGTTGTACACCAAACCTAGCCTCAATTTGACAAGAGATATTGAAAATCACGAGAACTTCGCTGCTGAAAATGATGAACTAAAATTATTCTTTAAAATACAGGATGTTGTAGACGTGCACAAGGTCAAGCGAAAATAAAATGAAATAGTGCATTCTTGGCTATCCGGGAAGAGCCTCGTATCGGTCAGTTGTAATGACGTTTCGGCCATCTTGCTGTGGCCTTCTTCAGAGCTATACAGTATAGCTCTGAAGGGATGAGCTATACTGTATAGCTCTGAAGGGATGAGGAAGGATCTAATTCTTACATACTACGACTGCCTTTCGCTTTCGGAAAGAAATCTCGGATATTATAACCCTCAAATGTGCTGGTAAATGCCGAACCGTCTGCGCTGTTACAAATGTCAGAAGTTCGGCCATTCCGTTCAGCGCTGCATGTCAGTAAACCTCGTATGCTTCATGTGTGGCGAAAAGTCGCACGCCCTGTTCCACATCACTCTATTGTACTAACTGCAAGAATTATCACGCAGCAACTTCAACCCTGTAAGGAGAGGAAAATCCAAAACATCAGGGTAACTGACAAGTTTTTGTTTTCGGAAATAAGGAGAGGATTCAAGGTAAAACACTCCCCGAATATGTCGCGAACCCTTTATAGTGTTCTAAATTAACCCAGAAAATATTTCAATTCTGGTAGAAAAAACTAGTTTTAAAATGTAATATAGTTTCAGAAAATGCCATCATCATGCCACAATCGGACGATAACTGTACCTTCTAGAGGCATTTTCCCGAAACCTGAGTTTTTAAGAGTTCAAAAATACTGCTTATTTTTTACTCGTTCTAGTTCCTAAACTATTAGTCGTACGACGCTCATATTTAGTCAGCTGATTATCAGTACCTCCTTCTTTCTCTCTTAAGTGTAGCGAGAATTTTTTAATCCATATAAATTAATAAAACATGGTTCTATGACGCAATTTTGTGGAAAAAGACGTTTTCCAAGAAAGTTATTGGCGAATTCCTGGCAAACGATGTATCTGAAAGAAATTTAGTGTTTACCAGTGTATTTTCCATTAAATTTCGTTTTAGGGCTGGTTTTGAGAAAAAAAAATTGCAAAACTCAACAGGCAGGGGTCGTTGAATTTTGATAATTTAATGACAAAAAATTGACGAAAATACTCATAACTCTAAAAATGTGGAAAATATTTATTTTCTGGAAGCAAAAATTAATCATAAAATTTAATATAGTTTCAGAAAATTGCCATATTCGGATGCCATATTCAGTTGCCATATTCGGATGATAACTGTGCCCCATCAAGGCGTTTCACTGA